GCGGCCCCGGGGGGGTCTCGTGGGTGTTCAGGCCCTCCCCGTCTCCCGCGACGGCTGTCGGTTGCTAATCGTCCCCGTTTCGTTGCTGCGGACGCGCAGGGCCGGGTGTCCTACGCCCTGACGATGGACGGGAAGCCGTACACCGTGCACCTGCAGCAGCAGTGAGTCGCTGAGGCCCCGACCCTTCGCCCGAGACGCCCCGCTCTTTGGGAGAAACGGCCCCGGCTGGGTTTTATAAAGCCTCTCCATTCCGGGTGACTTGTCTGCGGTCAGCACAGCAGCTGTCCAGTTTGAGTGGAGAAGCGGAGCTGGGGGCGGAGAACTGCTGCGCTTGGTTGAAATGAGTGCAAGTGGCAGTGTACGGTTTGGGTGGCTGGTTTTCTGCTTCCAGGCTCTTCATACCCAGCGAGTTCAGGGTCTACACCTACAACGGACAGGGGTCGCTGCTGTCCGACTTCGCAGCCGTTAAGGTAAGACTGAAGGAGCACTGGCTTGCAGCCGCTTCGCTGTTTCGGAAGGAAGTTGCTGCTAGGTGGGGATTTTGCTGCGCGCGGAGGCGCGGAGTCTCTCCCCCAGCTTTTATTTTTTTGTGTTTGCTTTTTTTTACTGATCCTGGAATTACATCCTGCAAGGAAGCGCGCTGCTCTCTCCTGGAAATTAGCGGGTGGGACGAATTACTTGGAAGTGGAGTTTGTTCACCGATTGGTGTGACCCTTTCAGAAAAGCCACTTGGCCGTGCTAACCTCCACAACGGTGAATACAAGACAGTCCTCTCCTTTTCACTGGCGTCAAAGGGAAAGGCCAGGGTGGGAGAAGTGTAGAGGCTAGAAGTGCTTCTCGATTGCGGACTGTCTCCAAACGGAGTGCTCCTCTGGGATTCAGCCCAGCAAGGCTGTTCGGGGCAAACGGTAGGGTCTGCAAGTAATGGTCCCTGAGCTGTAACGGGATCCATTGCCTAGCTAATACTCTCTATCGGGATGTCATTGTGCGCAGTTGCTGGGCAATTTTCTGGCATCTGCTGGCATTGAAGGAGAGAGCATTTGGTGGGACTGGGGCCGAATTGCTTCTCGTTCTTCCTTTTGCTCTCTGTGGGTACGTGAGGAGGCTTGGCTCGACAGGAAAGGGACATTAGGAAGAGCCCTGTCTTTGGTCACCTCCACCTCACCTAGCCCTCATACAGATAGACCTTTTTTTAAGGGTTGTGTTTGCATTTCTTGCCTCTCTGCACTCTAACCCTCTCTGGAGGCTTTGTTCATAGATTTCATAGGCATTCGGGCTGGAAGGGACCTCGGGAGATCATCGAGTCCAGCCCCCCACCCCAGGGGCAGGAAATCAGCTGGGGTCATAGGATCCCAGCAAGAAAAACATCCAGGTTTCTCTTGAAGGCGTTCAATGTAGGTGTTTGAACCACTTCCGGTGGCAGTCTGTTCCAGACCTTGGGGTCTCGGACAGTAAAGTTCTTCCTTATGTCCAGCCTAAACGGTCTTGCAGTAGTTTATAACCATTTGACCTTGTCATCTCTCGGGGCGCTCTGGTGAATAAACATTCTCCCAGATCCTGGTGGTCACCCCTGATAAACTTACAGGTGGCCACCAGATCACCCCGAGCCCGTGCTTTTCCAGGCTGAAGAGTCCCATGGCTCTTAGCCTGTCATTGTAAAGTCTGTTTTCCTGCCCTCTGATCACGCGCATGGCTCTTCTCTGCGCTCTCTCAAGCTTCTCCGCATCCTTTTTGAATTGCGGAGCCCAAAACTGGACGCAGTACTCCAGGTGCAGCCTCACTGAGGCTGAGTACAACAGGAGAATGATGTCCCAGGATTTGCTTGAGAAGCATCTTTGGATGCAAGCCAGCATTTTGCTCGCTTTACTGGCTGCAGCATCACACTGAAGGCTCATGTTCATCTTGTGGTCAATCCTGACCCCCAAGTCGCTCTCGTCTGTAGTGCTAGCCAGCGTGGCACTGCCGAGCCTATAAGGATGCTGTAGGTTTTTCCTCCCAAGGTGGAGAACCTTGCATTATTTGGTGTTAAACACCATCAGGTTCTCATCCGCCCATTTCCTGAGCCTGTCCAGGTCAGCCTGGATTGCCCTCCTGTCCTCAGGTGTGGATGCCTTACCCCAAAGTTTGGTATGATCAGTGACCTTGGCCAGTCCACTTCTGACTCCAGTGTCCACATCATTAATGAAGAAGTTGAACAAAATAGATCCAAGGACAGAGCCTTGGGGGACCCCACTGGTCACAGGGCACCACGACAATTGACTTCTGTCAACCATCACCCTCTGGGTCCGACCCCAGAGCCAATTTCCTAGCCGGCGGATCGTGGTGGACCCGAGGCCGTAGTTGGCCCGTTTTGCCAAAAGGTGATCATGGGATACCAGATCAAAGGCTTTTTTAAAGTCGAGATATATGACATCAATCTCTTCCCCCTTGTCCAGGTGATAGGTCACCTGGTCGTAAAAGAAAATGAGATTGGTCAAGCACAACCTACCCGCAACGAACCCGTGCTGGCTGTCCCTCTGGGGTGTAGACTGTCAGGGCTGGCTGACTTGAAGGTATCCAGCCTCTCAAGCTGTTCCTTCACATGGTCAGCATTGATGGAAGGCAAAGAACCACCCTCGCTGAGGTGTCCTTGTCCCGTAATGGGCACGGGTGTCCCATGGGACTTGTGAAAGTCTGATGCAAAGTACCCATTTAGCAAGTTGGCTTTTTCCTGGGCGTCGGTCATCAGTTCTCCCTTTTGGTTTAGCAGGGGTCCAATGTTGCCCCTGCTTTTCCTCTGGCTCCCCACATAACTAAAAAAGGGACTTTTTATTGTCCTTGATACTTGTGGCCAGTTGGAGTTCCATTGCAGCCTTGGCTCTCCTGGTTCGCTGCCTGCAGGTCCAGCCCAGAGCAGAGTATTCCTCCTTGGAGGTGAATCCCATCCTCCATCCTTTGTAGGTCTGTCTTTTTAGATGCAGGAGGACTGCCGGTTCCCTGGAGAGCCAAGGGGGCTGCTGTGCCCTCTTGCTGCCTTTCCTTCGAGACGGAATAGCCTTAGCTTGTGCATCCAGGATTGCTCCCTCGAGGAGCGACCACTCTTCCTGGACTCCCCTCCCCTTGGGGTCGTGGTCCCTTAGGGCCTCACTGACAAGTCTCCTGAACTTGTCAAAGTCAGCCCTCCTGAAGTCAAAGACCTTTGTACTGCTGACTGGCTTGACAGCTTTTCGGTGGATGGTGAAGGTGATCAGTTTGTGGTCGCTGTCACCCAGCTTCCCTTCGATCGTTAGGTCGCTGATTAGGTCGTTGCCGGTTGCCAGCACCAGGACAAGCAGCGCCCATAGACTTCTTGAGTCAGATAGAGGTCATCCACGCACGTGAGGAAGCTTTGCGACCGTTCGGATTTGGCCGAGCGCTCTTCCCACGAGATGTCCAGGTAGTGACAACCATGGACCGGGAGCGTGCAGCCTCAGCCAATTCCCTGGCGAACTCCTGGTCAATCTCTTCATTCTGGGAGGGAAGTCTATAGTAGACACCCACCATTGTATCTCCTGTGCCATGTTCCCCATGGATTTTAACCCAGAGGGTCTCTAGTCGTCCACCCAGGGTGCCGATGTCAGCTTGTAGGGACGTGTAGTTCTCCTTGACAGAGACAGCTACACCTCCGCCCCTTTTGCCCACTCGATCCCTCCTGTACAGGGTATAGCCGTTTATACCTGTGGTCCAGTCGTGGGTGGAGTCTCACCAGGTCTCCGTTATCCCTATGACATCGTAATTGTTTGTGTTGAGCAGGAGGACAAGTTCCTCCTGTTTATTCCCCAAGCTCCTGGCATTGGTGTACAGGCATGCAAGTGTCCCCTTGGGGGCCCTTGCGTTGCCCGCAACTGCTCTAGGGCTGGGGCAGGGGTGGGGTCCCTTAAGTGCCTTGGCTTGCTGGCTTTGCAAGGGTTGCTCAGCAGGCCAGCAGTGGCGGTAGTCCTCCCATCCCCCAACGGGCTTAGTTTAAAGCCCGCTGGAGCAGGGCAGCCAGTCTGGCTGAGAAGAGGCTCCTCCGCAGCGCAGCCTTTGGTTCACTACCTGGATCCTTCTCTCCCTCCATAGCCTGAAACTGGAAGGATCAAAGAAAACACCACCTGCGCCCCCAACCCCTTCAGCCCCGCTCCCAAATCCCTGTAGCGCCTCATGCCCTGGCTGGGAGCACTCCAAGCCATGTCATTGGTGTCCACATGGATGAGGAGCACAGGTAGTGGTCAGTGGGCTGGAGGAGTTTAGGGATCTTCTCTGCAATGCCTCGAATATGGGCTCCCAGGAAGCAGCAAACTTCCCGGGCTGAGGGGTCGGGGCGGCAGATTGCCCCCTCCGTCCCCCCTCAGGATGAAGTCTCCCATGACAAACACTTTATGTTTTGTCTTGGGGAGAGCGGGGGCAGTAGCTACAGTAGAGTCTGTGTTGCTTGTGGGAGCTGGCAACTCAGCAGGCTCAGCTGGGGCTGCAAGAGGTTTGTACCTGTTGCTAAGCTCCAGTGGGGCAGGGGCCTTGGTGCAGCAGGCCTGGGGGCCCTAGACCACCTTGGTCCAACCCCTTGACTGGACAGAGGAGGGAGACCGTGGTCTACCCTCCATCTCCCGGGGGCAAAAGGCCTGGCAGTAGGAGTCTATCTTCTGCTCGCAGTTCCTGATGGCGCACAGTTTCTGGACTGTGGCCTGGAGCTCCTCCACCTGGTGCGCCAGAGACCCCAGTAGGGAGCAGACCCCACAAGGGGAGGTGGCCATGCTCCTGGGCCCCAGAGCCTGAAAAAGCGACAGGCAGCCCCCGCAGCCAAGAGCCAGGGTCTCTGTCTGAGTGGAGCCTGGAACCATGGTCTCTGTCTGGGTGGAGGCCTCTGTGGGGGCTGCAGACCCCAAGGGGATCCTCGGGGTGCGGCGTGTGCCCATCCGTGTCATGCCACTGGTGGGCTGGCTACGACTGGGACTGGCTTCCCTAAGGCGGCTCATAGGCAGGGCCTTGAGCCCTCCCGCGGACCCTCCTGCACAAACTCCGCGCTAACTCATGCGCTGGCAGACAAGTGCACCTGTTTGCGCAGCCCGTTTGTGTGGCTCCGGACGCGTGGCTCCCTGAGGGGCTGGGCGAAGTAGGGGCCAGGGCAGTGCGAGACCCTCCCCTGGAAGGCCTTCGAAACAGTATCCCACCCCATACTGGTAAACAAGTTAAGAGGCTGTGACTTGGATGACTGCACAGTCCGGTGGGTGGCAAA